ACCTTTTGTCCGAGCTCCAATTGAAGATCGTTCAAAATATGAAAAATTAGCTTTTAATGCAGATGAAATATCAAGTGATAGTGATAAGGATGTAGCTCTAGAACGAGTGAAAAAGAAGAAAAAAAGAGTGAAAACCGTACTCAGTAGGAAGAAAAAAATGAATCAAGATTTAAATAATACTAATGTAGAATATGAATCTGATGATTCCATAGGTTCTGCTAGCGATCTGAAAGCAATAAATGATGAAGAGTGTAATCAAGAAAATGATGATGAACAAAAGAAAATAGATGAAACAATCTCAGAAAGTGTACGTACTTGTGGAAGTTCAGCATATCATGCAGAATGTGAATCTGTTGCAACGCATGAAGAGGAATATAGAATGAAAAAGACAAAAAAACATCACCATACTCAACACCTACCGACTATTGATTCAGATCCCGTTGTAGGACATCAATATGGAGAAAAACCTTTATTATTGGATGATGAATTAGATCCCGAATCTAAACCAGAACAATCTCATGGAGATCCATTTGTTGGTTTCCAGTATGGATCAAAACCTTTGCTATTAGATGCTAATAGTTCGTCGGATGAAAATGATAAATTAAGGTCATTAAATAATGGTGTTTGGAAAATAGAAGATGATGTATTTGCATTAGCACCATTTCCAAGATCTAGTAGCTCTAGAAAAAGTAGTGATAGTCGTGATAGCGGACGTAAACATTTTGGAGAAAACAGTATTACAAACTCTCCTCAAAATTCAAATTTGGTAACACCTATATCCAGTTCTCCAGTAACATCAGAGTTCTTAGGGAATGTAGAAAATAAAACTCAAGCTGAAATATTATCTGTATTACCTTCTAAAAATCTCACAGATATAAATATGAGTAAAAACAATTATGAAGTAGTAGATTTTACTCATTCGGTTCAACAATCACCAACCACAGCTCTTCTTTGTACTAATACTAATGAACAGGAAGATATGGAGAAAGATTTGTTTGGCTCTTCACCTTTCAGTCCAAGTGGTTTTACAAATCCCTTCAACAGTATGCAACAGTATATAAATGCTGAAACACATGATCAACCAATCTCTGCATTTATAAATTCACCTTCTTCTTATGCTAATTATGCTAATATCACTTCGCGACCTTATAGAACTGCAGATAATCATTGTACAGGCAATTCACCAATTATTTCTAATTCTAAACTTGGTGCTGTGATCAGTAATACAGAAAAATTGAATATGGAGTCTTCCAAAGATCTTTTTGGATCTGTACCTTTTGAAGAATTTGCAAATTTGCGAATGAGTGAACAACAAAGGCCAACATCTCTACCATTATCACAGTCTCCGAACTTTGTGAAAAATTCATTAAATACTGTGTCAACATGTAACATACATTCGTCAAATGCTGTTCCAATAATACCAACAACACTACCAACGTATACAACAGTGCAACATACTACTACAATAGCAGTTCAGGCATTAAATAGCATTTCAAAATTAAGTATTACATCGGAATTAATCTCTCCTATGTCTCCAGAACCTTTAGTTACAGATAATCCATCAAAGCATAAGAAGGATAAATCAAAGTCCGATAAATCTAAATACCATCTTATCAATGAAAATCATGGTGATGTTGTCAATGTTCTACCTACTAAAATATCTCATAAAGTTAAATCTGCATCTCATAAAAAAAATCTGAAGATAAAAAAGGGCTCCGCAGCAACATCTGGTTTCAGTAATATGAGTTTTGAAGATTTTCCTAGTGATGACAATGATGAAAAACAAGTTAGAACAAAAGTAACACCTTTCGAGGTAATAAGAGAACCAGAAAAGAAATTTGGTTCATTAAAAAGACGAAGCAATCCATTTACCTGAGAAGAAATACAGCTGACTAATAGCCAAGGTATTTATTACTAATATGAGGAAGAGATATATATGCATTTGATTCTGTATTTTAATTAAACATTAGTATTCTAACAGAAAATATAGTCTCGAAATAGTATAATGATTTGTGTTACGTTGTGCAATCATATTCACAACGTAATTGAAAATACAATAAAAATGATTAAAGTTCTGGAAACAAAAATTATATATGATGATATATATGTTCATTATCATATATGCAATATTTTGATATTTGAAAAAGAACTTATTTATTCATAATTTGATAAAAAAAAAGTTATTGTTATGGATAATATATGTATGAAGAATTCAGATTTGTGGAAAAAATTAAGATCTCAAATTCGAGAAATTCGAGAACTATAATCATTCAATAGTCTTGAAATAAAATTTTGAAAAATTTTATTTTATATTTTTTTAAAAATAAATAGATCTTTTTAGTTGCTAATATTTAAAAACAATTTAATGGTAGAACCAGCAACATAATATAATATATAAAGGCAGAAAATACCAAGAAATACATAAGTGAAGAAAAATTAATTAATATTATAACTGATAAATACATTTAATGTGAATTTTTTTTCTCAAATATATATATATAAATATATATATAAATTTTTTTATTTAAGTCTTATATTTTTTCACAAATCAATAAGAAATATTTAATGTGATAGCAGCAGGTAGCTGCATATGTGTATACGATAAGGCATATGCAAGTATATACATATATTTATGCCTGACTGACAAATGGTGCGTTTTGTAAAGATGACTTATGAGAATTGGAAAATATTAATCCATATAATGTCATCTTTTAATTACTTTTTGCATTTCTAGAAGATTTGTACAGGCAAATAGAATTAAGGAAGTAATCACGTAAGTGGTAATATTAATTTATATGAAGATATATATACTTTCCAAGATGTTTTTAGACAAAACCAAGTTAAAACTTGGCAGCTCGATACCAAAAAAAGAAAAGCAAAAAATTTGGTAGAGGAAGCTTATGCATCTATTTTTGCAGCTAAGCATTTTCACTACATTTATACTTGGAAATTTGTAGATATCTATTAGTACAGTTTGCAAGATTAGCTGTTATAATACATCTTTTTCAGAAAACTTTTCTGAAAGGTTGTTAGTTACATGTATACACAAATAAAATTATAATATAAAATTTTGTCAATATAATGAAAATATGCATTGTATAAATAATATTTTCGCAAGAGGAATTTATGCAATAAAATATTCCTCTCAAAAAGTATGAAAAACATTGCTTGTAGATTTCACAGCTATAAAGGCGCAGATAATAGCATTAAGGACATTTATACATGGTCCTAATTAAAGATCTGCAATATGCAATACAGAAATATTAAAAAAAATATTTAAACTGTATTTGTCTTCATTGGTTTGCCTAAAATATTGCCTTATTACGTAAGACTGAATTGTTGTTTAACAATCAGTAATAATAATTAAATAATATTAAGCAAATAACTTTTGTCATTAATACTATATAATATCTACTTGCTAACACAAATTATATTTGCACATTTTGTAAAGATCAATTATTTGAAGACCAACATAAAATACATGACATGTTCTTCATATAAGATAATAAACTGTAATTCTTAGTAATACCAATATTTAAGATACGAAATTAGTTAAGAAACAACAGTATTTGGATCTTATTGCTATTTTCATATTACATATATGTATGCTTTTTATTAACGAATTTGCAAATTGATATTTATAACTTAGTTTTTAATAAAGTTTTTATTAAAGGAGCTTTTAAAAACTGCGATTTTTGAAGAAAGATAAATTAAAGCTTGGAATGTTGACTTATTTATTTGGAAATCACCCCTCATTGCTAATACTGCGCCTTTAATGATATATATTACGTCTGTGAAATTTAGTTCACTATTTAAAGAAGAAGACAATATAATAGAAATGTCTATAGCTAATATTTCTATGCGTTGGCATATATATACACATATACACACACTCGATGCATAACATATGCAACATTATTGTAGATATTAACTCATATATAATTAGGTGCCTTCATTTATTATATAGCCATTCAAGCTTGTACTTTCCGCTGTTGTATAGAATAAGATTACTGATATAATAAAAAAAAAGAACGGAGTCAATTTTATGTCTACAATGTAAGATTTAACGTCCGAAAATTGTTTTCAATTCAGTTCCTATACATTACTGCGAAACCTTTGCAACACAAACTGTTATTAAACGTAGTTCTCAGAAAAAAAAAAGAAAAAAAAAATTAAATGTGCGAATGTATTTATCACTTCACTTTATATGAGAACATAAATTTGAATACTATATAAATTAATAATTTAAATCTGTATAAATATATACAAGATGTCAGTAAAAAAGAATCCTTGAAATGCACAATAATTTGAGAAATGATATATAGACAAATTGTTTATAATAATCAATTAAAAATATATATTCTTTAGATATTTTCAATAATTAACTCGAGTGATAAAAACTGTTGAACATTTTTATTAATTAAGCTGTTATTTCATTCTCCAAGTTCTCTAAATTACTCTTGTGCATTTCATGGATTTAAATTTTCTGCTATTCTGTATACTAGATAGTCTAGTATTTGTCGGCCTTAAAACCCGTCGTTCTTTACAGTATTTATATATTGTAAACAATAGGTGCTAAGAAAATATTAAAATATAATGTAGAAAAAATAATGTCTTTTCTAACGTAAAAAAACCATTATTCGAAATTGTTAATAATATAAAAACAATACATTCCTCCTTTTTTCATTAATAAAGCAACACTTTTATTTTATATATTGAAGTATATAATTTCAAAAAATAATATTTATTTTTCCTATCATATGATTTCATAAATTTCATGATTGTAATATTGCTATACTAAATTCAATTATCTTGAATTAATTTCATTTATCAGATATACTCAAATTATATAATGATATTTTTCGTAAATGAATAGACGTTATATGTACATAAGTAATGTATTAATAACATTTTCACTGTATGTATAAAAATACAGAGCATTGAAATAAATTGTATTATAATTAGTACGTTTTATATTTATATTAATATATTATGTCTATATGATGGAATGATAATGAATTTTAATAAGAAAGGACTAACAAAACGAATTATTTATTTATCGTAGATCAAATTGATGTTGTAAATTGATATTAAAAGATGTTACTTCAATAAGAAAATTGATTTAGCAACAACAAAAGTATTCTCCTAAAGTATTGAGTTTCTTTTTAGCCATGGTAAAACAGAGAAGGCATATAATAACCCATGTAAAGAAATTAAGCCATGTACAAATGATTGCGAGTTGTAATGCAAAACCTGTATTTAGTTCCTCTCCCCGTCTAAAATTATTAGCATCCGGTTGAAGATAATCCATATAGTCAAAAATTGCACCGCATGCGAGTCTATGTCGAATTACCTAGAATAAGGTATACCTTTATTTTTATTTAAAGTTCAACCAAAAATTATCATAAATAATATATTAGACTCATTAAAATACAAGAAAAATTAGAAATAAATCCTACATGAGCTTCACGTCCTCTGGAACCCAAAAGTTGTATCAAACCTCTTTTATATTGTTCACAAGTTTTATAAAAACCGTCCGTCATAACAACCGCGTGTGCAAGCGATAGACAACCAATCAAAGCAGCGCAAAATGCTGACGACATCCATTGTTTAAATGGAGTCCTTCTTTTAGGGCCAATTACGACGACTTGCCCATTAATAGTGGTTCTACAACATTTTTTATTTAACACAATAAAACATAAAAGACATCGCTAGAAATATAATAAAACTGACAATCTTTAATGAAATATAAAGCATCTTTAACTTTATTAATTTCGAATTTGATTTGGTCTCATTTTCAAATTTGAAAACAGGAAGTTGATGTTGATTGCACTGTACATGCGCAGAAAAGAAATGCTGGAAAAATATGACGCAAAATTTGTACGAATACCTTTTCAAGTAAAAACTAACAAGGATATTCATGTTCGGATAAGAATAAAGATAGGAAAATTATAATAATGAATTGTTATACCTGTTATTGTTGCAATTCATTGTCCTGGGCTCATCGAGACCACGATTAATACAGCATCTGTAGATATGATATACACCGAAGCACAAGCCGATTATAACTGTAGGAACGAGTCCGTAGACACCAAAGTGGCATAACTTTATATCGCCACCCATAAACGTGCTAAATGTATTAATACCATATAATATACAACCACAGTTAACGCTAATGCAAACATTTAAGGTCATTTCCCAATGCTGCCAAATGATCGCGAGAGATGTCAAAGACACAATAGAAAAAATCATCGATGCATTATACAATATCGCGAGAAGAGTTTCTGCTTGCGAGGTCTTCATTATTGTAAATCAGTTTTCAATTATGACTTTCTACTTCCACGATAGATAATATCCAAAGTCATACATTATTCATTAGTTTTTGGCATATCGAAAAATTACATGTTTTATTTCGATTCGTTCAATATGTCCTTTCGAGGATGAGAAAATCACGTATAATCTACAAAGAAAAATTCGAAGTAATTGATTAATAATAACATTAAACTTAATATTTATTCGAAAAAAAAATATATCAAACATTTGTGTGCACGCTCCATACATTTGCAATTACTACCACATTTGTATTATTACCACATTCTATAAAATTATGTTATGACTTTTCAAATTTCTTTTTATTTCGCGCCTTTATTTAAAATCGAATCTGTTACTTTTCGGAACTACATAATTTATTTAAACAAACTTCAACGATTACCGATTTATCCTTTGATCGATCTAACAATTAAATGATAATGCACAGTACGGGTTATAAATCACTGTATTAAATAGGAAAGTTGAAGAACTTCTAAGCAGATTTTCACTGTACGATGTAAGAACCGTCTTTGAACGAATAAATATTTTAAAAGTAACTATCTTCCCGATCATCGTTGTACTATCGACAGATCTATTTTCAGAATACATTATATATCCATCTTCGTTTATGGAGACTGTAAACTTTTGCACGTTTTAAAATTGAAGTTCGAAGAACGAAAGGCAGAATATTTAGAAAACGAAGATTGATTAATAGGATATATAATTAATATCTGTCAATCTTTTTGTACAAAAAAATATCACATGTAATTCAGCAAATTTGTTGACACTTCCGAGATATAAAAAACAACGTGTAGTAAAATAACAATGAATATTTTAATATATTCACCATTCTAATACATTTACGCGTGCACAAAGATATTTCCGTTCGACCGATAATAAATAATCTTGAAAAATAACAAATAGAAGCGTAGACTGCAAGACTGCGTAAAGGATTAAAAATATCGGAACGTAAACTAATCAGATACCATTTCGTCGGCTGTATCATCGAATCGGTAAAGCACGTATATATGTGAGTACTTGCGTACATATATCTTGTGTATTTCTTGTTGAAATAAGCTATACGTATGCGTAAATCTTCGTCCCTACTGGTTTTTCTCCACGGCGGGAAAGGTCGTCGAAAGATTGAAGCTCAAATATTTGATCTTTGCGTTTTGACGTTCTTAAATCATACTCATGCGTAGTTGCATATAACGACGTATAGAGTCTACAATCAATTATTTCTCATTCTTTTAACTTAAAGACACCAAATCTTACAATGTGATGAAAGTATTATCAAAAAAGAAAATATTCTTATAATTCTTTACAGTGGAAATTAAATTATAAACTCTACTTTATATATGATACACATTACCTTCTTACCATGATTTTTTGCCATTCTTCTGAAATTTTTCACTTTATTAGCACAAAATAATCGATCATATTTAAAGAAAATTTTAAATCATGACAATAAACAAAATTTAGTTGGATATGAAATATTTTCTGATTATCCGGATGAGTAAAACCTTTATTCTATATCACTCTGTAATATTTTGAGATAAGCACAGATAAGATTATATAGCAATACCTGTGAAGCTTACCAATACTCTAGTCTACATATATATCCAATCTTCTATAAAACTAGAAGTAATCAAAAAGGTTAATGTATCCTAAAAAGATAATAGATCTAGAAAGCAAGCAACGATAAAATAACAAGTGTATAATCATATTCAAAATTCTTTAAAGAAGATTTCAAATAAAAAATGAATTAAATTTGAATGTAAAATTAAATATTTTAGGGTTTATATAAATGACATTGTTTTGTTGTTTCTTTATCAAAAAAATTTTTTATTTAGGCAGTAATAATAAGTGTGAGTGATTCTTTGTACTCATGATAAATAGGTATAAGGCAACGCACAAATAAAAATAAATTACTATCTACTAATCGATGTAATAATAAATATATATACATATACATACACATACCATATATATATGTATATACATACATTATACAATTTGTTCTTTTATAAATTGCATGCATTTCTCATTCATAATAATTTCTTTTTTATGCAGGCGTTCTGACCAGATTTCCTATTTATAGGACACAAAGATAGAATTTATTACGAATTTTCTAATGGTTGAGAAACTCGAATCGTCATTTCAATCTGCAAAAAAAAATAAAATGTCTCTTAGGAGCCTTTATCGATGAACTAATATAGTCTGTGTCTGTCTTTCATAGTATATATTAGTGTATATTTTATCATGATTAATTATTTTGGAGGATATGAATTTTATAATTTTAAATAATTATATAACAATTTTTATATTAGTATAATATAGAATTCATTCATGCCCTGAAAGATTGTAAATTTGAATAATTATTCTTTAAAATAATTAATGTGTTATTCAACTATGTGAATTAATTATAATATATAAGGCTACTAATTTTATACTAGCATATAAAAGACAATATAAATAAAAATTGGCAAATATATCTCTTTCTATGTATCTTAAAATTGATTGATACGTTGAAATCTTTAATTTTTATTAAATATCAATGGGATACGGTCAGAAACATTCAGGGCAGACAAAATTTGACTAAAGGGCTTTCTGTAAGTATACACACAATCTTATGCTGGATTAACACCATATCTTAACTGTGAATGTATTAACTGTGAATTCCATAAGCAATATAACGATGCTATTCCTAGTCCAATGCAGCCACTTAAAGCACATTTCCTTAAACCACCTGTAATATAATTACATGGAATAGATTATTTAATATTAATTCTTATAAATTAATAAAACAAAATAAAGCAGGATGTACACACTTGTGGATTTGAACAACATGCCAGTCGCGGTTGCTGCTGCTAATGTATTCCAGGAGTCATCGGTACTTCTTGCCCAAGATAAAAGAACACCGAAACCGCTATACATCACTGTAATTACTCCGAGTGTATTTGCTAGAGCTGATCCACTTTTCATAACATGATTAATCAACCTGTTTAACGAATGAAGAGACAAAATTTTTGTATATATATCTTGCATACATGATTTTGTATTTATGTATGTGCTTTATCTAAATTATATCCAAATATATTGAAAATACTTACACATATAACAAATGGAATAGTAAGAGAAAAGCAAAAACAGAAAAAGCTAAACAAGTACATACTGTGTTCTTCTGAGTTTACCGGTTTGTCCAGCTAGAGCTGTTGCTTTAATCCCTCTATATAAACCAGTGGTACCACCAATACCTGCTCCTATCATACAAGCAGCACCTATTTGACTAAAAGCTAATTCAAAACGTCCTCTTTGTTTTACAGCTCCTTCTGGAAATATATATTGTGGCTCGCGTGGAGGAAGGTATGATGGATCAAAATTTAAATATGGACTAAGTGGTGCTAATCCCTCTTGAGAAGTAACTGAAAAGTAAAATGAACAAGTTTTATAGTAAGTAAATTAACTTCTTTATTACTTCTACAAACTTTATTTTATTAAATTCAAAGTAAAAGATAAAGAATATAATAGATGAGCAAATATTACCGATTAATAATTACAAAAAGATCCTATTTCTTACATAATTTTACATGAATCTTCAATAATATCTTTTCATAAAAAGAATTGTTTTTTTCATGTAAATAATATTCATAAAATATTACATATTATTAGAAATCATGTTTTGTAATTATTTTTGAAAGAATGGTAATAAGCTCTGTGTAATTTTTAATTTATTTTTGTATTGAATATTAATAAAATAACCAAACAAGCACGTTGCATGTATATCTAGATTTAGTTGATAACAAAGATATGAAGTTCTTCTTTTACAATAGAGTATTATTCCTCGCGTACTTACGTGGTATATATTTATTATCAATTTTTCGATTGGCAGTTTTTGCATTATCATCGCGAAAATCAATCATTTTCAAAAAATTATATGCAATATACCCTCCTCCAGAATTTATTTGTAAAAATAAATGTCCATGAATTACAGTAGTAGTTTTAGAACGGCGACTCGCAGAACTAAAAGCAAAACCACCATACCACCAGAAACAAATTATCGGCCGATAAGTATAATAAAATAATTTACTCGAATAGTGAGAAATATTTAGAAAAATAATTAATCATAAATGATAAAATAAAATTATAAGAAGATAAACAATAAAATATTTATTTTATTCGATATTAACATTATTTTCTAATATCAAACACGTGCTAAATCAAAATTATGATACTGTTCACATTTGTTATAAAAAATTATTCTTTCGTAAAAATATCAAAAAACGTATATAAACAAAAGTTTCACAATATTTATTAATTAAATCATATTCTTTTCATATGATCTTTTATCTTTGAAAATTAATAATAATTTGAAATGTCCCGCGTGCAATGGAAATTCTGTCGTTCTAATTGGTCAAAAATGACGCCATGACGCTTGGCTATTAATAAATAGCGCAGGCGCGAAGGTTGATCTGTGCGTATCCGCCATTTGCGTAAGTCGATTTCATTGTTTCTGTGTGTGTGAGCTTAGAGCAAAGGGAAACGTTGGCGATGGTAATATTCGTGTGCATTTGGAAAAACATGGAACGAGTCGATTAGCGTAATACCACGCACGCTGTAACGCACATATATCCGAATATATACTCTTCCGAAAGTAACGATGATATTTGGCAAAAATCTTTTCATGTAAGTTTTTTTCGCGAATGAGCCAGGCAGTTAAGGTAAAACTATTTTAGTCGCAAAATTTGGCGTTGCCGTAAATGAATTTTCTCGTCATAATATTGTACTGCTTATGTCTTTCCAAAGCTTATGCTTTTCTGCTTTAGATAAATACCTTATATATTTGCTCAGTGTATTGTGATATTAGTGAAGTATTGGCGGTACGTTTGCCGGTAACTGATCATTCTGATTCTATGACTATTAACGCGTTCCTACAGAAAATTATAATGAAAACTCCTTACGATGTTCAAACACTACTTGTAATTATATTATGTTATACTTATCTCTATTCGAATGACGAAAAAAATCTGTTAATTTCTGAAATATTTAATGCTTATCGATGTGTCATTCTAAAGGCAAAGTTCGATCATCGTACTCTTACAAGTGCGCATTTCTAAGATCATCATTGAAATCTCCTTTTTAAAACACAGTATTTATCATTGATATTCTTTAGATAGAGTTATAAATGAAACGCAATAACATTAGCTTTTCATATTGGCAATGAAAAAAAGAAAGGTTAGCTTACTTTTTTTTCTTTTATTATTTTAGGTAAAACGAAGAAAAGTATTAGACCATTGTACATTGAAAAATGCTGATTAAATAATATCAAAAAAAAACTGATTAGTCTACCAAAGTAGCAAGTATTTGATAAATACTATGGGGGCATTTTTGGATACTCCTAAAACAGATAAATATAATGAACATGGAGCTGGCAATGGATTGCGATATGGTGTTGCCAGCATGCAGGGTTGGAGATTGGAAATGGAGGACGCTCACAGAGCTATAACTGGCTTAGAAGGTGGCCTTTCAGATTGGAGTTATTTTGCGGTGTTTGATGGTCATGCAGGCGCATTGGTATCAGAACATAGTGCAGAGCATTTGTTAGAGTGCATAATGAAGACTGAAGAATTCAAAGCCGAAGATGTCATTAAGGGAATACATTCTGGATTTCTTCAGCTTGACGATGAAATGAGATACTTACCAGAAATGAGCTCTGGAATAGATAAATCTGGTTCTACAGCAGTCTGTGCATTTATATGTCCCAGAAATATATATATTGCTAATTGCGGCGATTCTAGAGCTGTACTCTGTAGTTCTGGAAGCCCGGTATTCTCAACACGAGATCATAAACCTTTTTTAACGGCAGAGAAAGAAAGAATACAAAATGCAGGTGGAAGTGTAATGGTACAAAGAGTAAATGGTTCATTAGCAGTTTCAAGAGCACTAGGAGATTATGAGTACAAAAATTTGAAAGATAGGGGTCCCTGCGAACAGTTAGTGTCACCAGAACCAGAAATATTTGTAAGAGACAGAGATGATGAACACGATGAATTTCTAGTTTTAGCATGTGATGGTATTTGGGATGTAATGAACAACGAAGACTTATGTAATTTTATACGATCAAGGCTATTGCTTACGGATGACTTAGAAGCAGTCACGAACCAAGTCATAGACACATGTCTTTACAAGGTAATTTTCTCTTTGGCATATATTATACATATAAATTAGTAAACTCTAATTTCTTAATTTAATGTTACTAATTATAAGAAGTTATATTTCAACATTTGTTATTAGGTTTCTTATAAATTTCTATTTTAAATGTATATTGGAATATCCAACATAGTTGATATAAAAATTGTCATATTAAATAAAAATTTCATTATAGGGTAGCAGAGACAATATGAGTATAGTCTTGGTTACGTTCCCTGCTGCACCAAAACCAAATTCTGAAGCACAGGAGAAGGAGGCTGAGCTGGAAATGGCCATTGAAAGGAGAATTAAAGGTTCTTTCACTTTTCCATATACACATTCATTATATTCTTTTTGTTGTTGTGTTAATACCAGATCACAATGTCATACATGACATTCCTTCTAAGATTTAGTTAAAGTAAGAATTAATAGAAAATTAAATTTGTGTACTTAAATCCTTACATACTTATAAATATTGAATAGCAATTTATTAAGTTATGTGAGTTGTTTAGTCTTTATAAACTAATATGAAAAGCAAATTGATTCGCGCAATATAGAAACATTATGTACAAATCTTGAAGTTCAAAAAAGAGATATATTTAAAGATTTGTCAATTATTACAATAATGTTCTGATTATATTATAGATATTATGTGCACGTGCACATATATGAATTTTCTTTGAAAATAGTAGTGATATTGAAGGTACAAGAATATTTATGAATAAAAATAGTACATTTCTAACTATAATAATAGGACATAAATTATGGACCAACATTATTTATATAAAATTTACTACAAATTTATCTATTAATTTTCTCTAAGATTTATCGTGTATTAAAAAGTGTCATTATATATTTTTAAAATAATTCTTGGTGCCATATAAGTAGATGATAATAAGATCTACGTTATTATATCTAATTATTCTCATATATCTGTATATTTGTCTTTGAATTTGACAACTCTAACCATCTTATATACAAATAGAAATAATTAGTTTGATTACTGTCATCTATTCTCTTGTAATTTTATCAGAATTGAGACGATAATAATTCTAATATATATTATGTGCTTGCTATCCACATGTAGCAATAAACCTATATATATTTAAAAAATGCAAATAACAGGGTACTTCCACTCATATAAGTGAAAACTTTTGGTTTATATATCAATTTAGAAAATTGTAATATACTGACTTTTTCAAAGATTAAACTTACTTCAAATACAAAATTATTATTATTTAGAGATATATTCCACCCTTGGAGTTGACAGGTGCCTAGACAAACAATAAAATAAGTTAAAGTTATATTAAGGAAGTTGTTTGTTCCTCTCTTGATATATATTAAAGCAATGTAGCAGGTAGGTGAAAACCTTTTTAAAAAAGTCTAGAGGAACTTCACATAATGTTTTTATGTTATTTTGTAAACAATGCATTTCTTATGGAGGAACATGACAACTGAAAAGATCATATATATAAATAGTGAAGAAGAAGGATCTATACTTGACAATTCCAGAGGTGGATAAAGACGACCAAAAAATATATACATTACTTTAAGGAAAACGTGATATTAATGTATCTACTTAAGACAGGAGTATGCTTCATATATTCCCATAAGAAATGTACTGTAAAATATATTATTCCAGTCCTAAGTAGATGCACGTGTATGTAATTCTAGTTGATATATTTTCTTTTATATATATATATATATACGTATATATATATATTATAATTTTTATATAATAGAAAAAATACTGCATGAAAGACATTCTATTTACATACATGTTTTCTATTTATCAATTATATATATCCACTTTTTTGTAAACTATATAATATGCAATTGCTCAAATTTCTTTTTGATCTATAGATTCATAAACATTGCAATGTTTTTATATGATATCACTCATAGTATTTGATGTTTTTCATGTTTTACTATAGATGTTTCTATTGAATTCTAATTTTTGAAAATATTTATTTTTTCCTATTCTTATTGAAGTAATTTTCTTGTGTATGATATATTGAAATACCTATGACAAATGTTACATCCAGTATACACAGTATTTCCAACTATATAACTTTCTCGTTGCAACATAAAAATGTATTTTATTCATGTTTTTACATTATTTTCACTATTAAAATAATAGGAATGCATTTATTTTTTATAGTTAAGTGGCAGAATAAATATTAATAGTTTTTATTATTTTCATAGAAATAGTAGCAGAACAAAAACAAGAGGATAAGATTGACTATTTGAAACTATTACAACTTCTTGTGGACCAAGAGTTTCCCAATCTGCCTCCAGGTGGTGGTCTTTCAGCTAAGTAAGTATTGTTTTCTTTCTGATATATCACTTATACTTTTTTCTCAATTACATTTTTTTATATTATATAGTTACAGTTTTTTATATTGTACTTACAAATGAAAACAATGAAAATTATGTCTTTTGTATTGAAATAGAAATCACATTGCTTTTGCAACAAAATTATTATAAGATTAAATAGTTAATTTTACCACTAAGTATAAGGATATAATGGTCTTATAAATTTGGCTCGTTTTCTGATTAAAATTAGATTTTTATTGCAGGCAAGAATCCAATTATTTTCTCTTATATTATACACTTTCTATTATTATCAAGTATATAAAAAATATCCAAAATTTTCAACTTTTAACCAAATCTTGCAAATCAATAATATTTTTTATTTTTTATTACAGGCAACTTTTGATCGAACAAGTGTTTCGAGAATTATGTCCTAAGAAAGCGGATAGTGTAAGTCTTCTATATGATTGATTCCCTTTATATATATCGCTGATTTTTTTATACTGCATCAAATGTACAATTATAATTAATGGACTTATCCCGTTTTCATTCATATAATGATGCAGATTTTAAACCAGAAAAACATTTATTTTAGTGATAGCTCATGGTATGTAAATTTTGTTTTTGCTTTTTTCTTTTCTTTTTTTTTTCTTTTCTTTCTTTTTTTCTTTTTCTTTTTCTCTTTTTTTTTTTTTTTTTTTTTTTTTTTTTTTTTTTTTTTTAAGAGCAAGAAAAAATTGATATATTAAAATTGAGATTGAATGAAATAAATCTGTTATAAATAGTGTGCAGATTAAAAATATCCTTATATAACTCGACATCAAAAAAGTAAAAGTAAAGAAATTGAAACACGCAATATTTCTCATTCCAAAAGAAAACACGCACGTGCATGTGTGTGTGTGGTGTGTGTATATAATACACATATATATGTTAAAAGAAATGAAAAATACATATAAAAAACTTAAAAATTTACTTTGTTTGTTTACAGAATAATAATATCTGCTATGAGTTTAAGTAAATTATAATTAAAAATTAATAATTTGAAAAAAGTTAAGTCTAAAGTTGCATGGTGATAGGGGATAAAAGAATTGAACTTAAAATATTTATATAAAAATATTTTTTACTTAATTATATTTGTTATTACTTTCTAAACGCTTTTTCTTTAGTTATCTTATTTTGACTTCAACTTCAATTCAGAAATAGAATTTGCAAAATTATAATAATAAAGAACATATGTCAATTCAAGATTTCTTTTACTTAGTTTTTTATAACGCATACAAATTTTTTAGAGAATATTTTACTTGAATTATTTAAGAAATACACACAGAACTTTAAAAACAAGTATGCTATACATAAAAAATGGAAATAAAACTCATTACATTGCACGTTCTAAGATGAAGTTCTCAGAATGCATATTACAAGTCCTACAGCTAATTCCAATCAGTATTGGTATTGCTGGTTTTAATAATTATCACTATCTATTGTTAGATTTTATAAATTTCTCTTTATTCAGGAAATAAAAAAATGTTTATATTACAGTTATATGCAGAGGGTTTAGAGATATTATACTAAGAAATATGTGCATACATATTTGATTTTTTATTATTTAAATTGCACAATGTGAAGAAGTAATAAATAAATCATCTGTAAAAAATGATTGTAAAATAAAAATTGATTATCAGGAATTTCTAAGTATTGAACAATTTTGTTCAATGCATTGTTGGAAAACATTTCTCATCAAATTTTTACATTAAAACTAATGGTTGTATTTGACATAACATATATTTACAAACATCTGAAATAAATAATTCTTTTTTAATAATAATTAAATTATATAATTATTGGTATTATAATCCAAAGTTTTATTACCTTCCTAATAACTTAGTAGAGTATTTCTGTAATACCCTCTTGCTCTACGTTGATAAAAATGCATAATATTACTATAAATATTTATATATTTTTGTAGTCCTAGAGGGATTCATACTCAGAATATTTACTTCTTGGTTGGTCTTTGCTACTCTTTAATCAAAATCTGTTCTATACACATGTATATTGTTATTAATTCTATATTCCAGATTACCAGAATACTTACATGGAAAGAGTAGCAAAACTGATCACTAGATTTATCTAGTACTATCTCTGTATATATGCATAAAGTTATGTCTATGAAAGTGTGTATTCATATTTTACTCTGGTAATTGTAAAATTTAAGTGATAGTGGAATTATGTCGATCATGATGGCCTTGATCTTAGTTTCTCAAATTGATGTTTATTTAATCAGTCAAACAAATTTAATTCTAATCTAATTAAATCTTAAATCATTTCTGCATTATAAAATAAATATATAAAGATATGCAGTTATATTAAAATAATATGTGTCTGTTACAATATTATCTAATATAAAAGAATATATATATATATATATATATATATATATATATATATATATATATATATATGACAATAATTTTCATTATGGTAAACTTATATAAACCTTCAGTAGAAAATAACAGATAAAAGCATTAAGTATATACAAACAATAAAAATATATTTCAGAGTTATTCATTACAATGAATTTTAAAAAATTGTGTGCATTATTGTTTTTTTTTATAAATTTCATTTCTAAATAAATTAGTTACTTTTAGTATCTTCGAATAAAATGGAAACTAATTTTCAAGGCTATCCACTAATTTAAAACTGTAGCATAGATGTACCAAAGTACGTACCATTTCCGATTATAAGAAACTGTTCTCAAATTAACAAAACTGGATAGATTATTTTGAAATAATATATTAAAGTACAATATATACTTCAAATACTGTAGAATGATGGTCTATTTTTACTAAATGTGATTTTTCTAAATTCTAAAGCTTGAAACAATTGATACTTTTAATTTTTCTTATTTCAGATATTAATAACACTGATTTTATTGTTGCATGTGTAGTGCCCTGAGGGAAAGCAATTGATATCATACTTGTGATATGCAGCATTTTGCACATAATTATTCTGCTGGAGTGGATTATATCTCAATTGTAATATTACTAGCTATTTAGTTTGACATTTGACATTTACTTTTATAATTTAATATTTCAAAGCCATTATTTACCAATGATATTCTAAATAGAATTAATCGTATAACTGTGAACAATTGGACAAATGTGTTTGTCAATTTTTAAGCTTTTATATGATGTTTAATGATTACAACATAGTTCTCTTTTAAAAAAAATTACTTTACAAATAACAACATTGGTAGTGATTGGTAGTTGATACAACATTCTGGAAAAAACAAAAACATTCGTGAGATAAGTTTTGTGAAATTAATACAAATTAGAAAGGAACAGAAACCATTTTATTTTTGGCTTGCACTAAAAAAAAATATTCTTTAAATATATATAAATTTTAATTTATTAATGTCTTATTATTTGAACTATATCCTATTTATATGTAAAATATTATGAAATTGTTGACTCTGTGGGTGTGTGTATATATATAGAAGTATGATTTACGATAGTACAAACATTTAAAAGTAGTTTTAAATAAAACAGGTCTTTGATCCTAACTTGAATGTGAATTATAATTGTTTTTCTTTTTTCTGATAGTGAAGCTTTCTTTATTTATAGTCCTATTCTGTACTTTTGTGTTTTAATGTCATGTCAATAAAATAGAATAATTTAAATAAGTTTTGACCATAATTCTTAAAAATACTAGATATTAAAAGGTTTTTTTAATCATTTTACAATACTACCATGTAAAAATCCTATATTTCATTAAATTTTTTTTTTTTTCTTTTTTTTTTTTTTTCGTAAAGAGCTAACTCTAAGATATGTATTTTCAGAATAGGACTATATTATATAAACAAAGATCGTGTAAAATATATATATCTTCATAAACAAAAAAGACTAGTAATTTATTATTCATTATTTCCAATTAATAATTATAACATTTTATAATAGTATCTTTGATTAATTTTATTGAAACAATGTGGTCATTAATATTTTGCAGTCAATTTATATGACTTGATTATTTTTCATTTTTATCATTTTTCCCAAATATTTTATTCTTCATTTTTAACTTCATCAAATTAATTTCCATTCAAAGAAATGTATTGTTTATTGCATTATAGCATCATGAATAGGTGACTTCTATGAAATATTAATATATATTCTATTTCATATATGAAAAGAGAAGTTATATATTTACGATACTTAAGCACATCATTTTAAATTAACATAGCATCATTGAAAAGCTTTTTCTAAAACTAACTAGCATGGTTGAATGTTATCAAGCTTCATTACTACATTAATCACTATATGGTTACCCCAAAAATTTATAATCGTATTTGAAAATTGAAACATATTTTCATCTTCGAAATTTATTAATACAGTAAGTTTTGTAAATATTTTTCATTTTTAAAGAATTAAGATTAAAAAATTTATATTATTAATAGATTATCTAAATATACAAAATGAATATATATATATATATATATGTGTGTGTGTGTATATATATATATTTTTTAAAACTGTGTTAACTCTATTTTTCATTAATTGCTTATATAAATATGTATATTCAACAATTAAAATACTATATAATGATGTGCTTACAGAATTCACAGTCCAGTTAGTGTACTGAGTATGTATACAGTTTGATACATGTATGCAATAGACTGGCCAGTCCAATAGTGGTGAAAGTGAAATGTCCATCAGCAAGAAACATAGTGGAGTGCTACATGAGCAGAGACTGTGCAAGATGGCAATAAATGATACAGACACATATTTGATGATTTATCATGGAAGTCATCATACATCATACTATATAGCTAATATCAAATTATAACTCTAAGATCAACTGTACAAAATACCTTATCTGTAGCCAAGGATTAAATATTGCTTTTTATTTTTTGTGGATTAATTTTAGATTATTTTGTGTTTAGTTTATATCATGTAATACATTGATATCTTTTGCTACTTATAATATTTCAAAACTATATATATATATATGTGTATATATATATATATATATATATATATATATATATATATATATATATACATACATACATACATACACACACACATCTATTTGATAAGAATGTTTTTTTCAGTATAAAGAAGATAAAATAAAAACTTTCTTCATATATGTATCTCATATATAAAAGATGCTTTAAAGATGAGTTATATTATTTTAAAAAAGATAGATTATGTTTGAACTATTTCTTTTCTGTTAAATGTTCTAATGAAAATTAATTCGATTTCGAACTCGAATATCGAGTTATAAGAATATTTTATCACAGTTTACTGTATTTTTTATAATTGCATCTACCTTATTAAAAATGTATTTCTGTTTTATATTTCCAGTTAGATTACAAGTTTTTATAAATTGAATCACTGATATTTTGAGAACATATTACGATAATAATATATAACAGTATATGTTTTTGTTAGACTGCAACTAATATATGTATAGACTTTTACATTTTCTTTAAATTTATATTCTTTTAACAAATTCAATCTTTTATTTATTTAAATACTCAACATAATATGGTGGAATGTGTCTTAAATAATGAAAAATGTAGTAACAAATATTTATTATATTAATCTTCTAAACATTATCAAAGCTGAAAATGACAACAAGACTTCATTTTCACATATGATTTTACTTTTTCATATATATACATATGAAACTGATAAAATAAACTTTATTGGATATATGATAAATATTATTTTACATAATATGCTTAATTTTTTGAAATGTTTATTCAGCTATAAAAAATTATATTATATACAATTATCTACTGATAATGAAAATGATCAACATTTATATCATTCAAATTTACTATAATCTTTTAATACGACATTTTTGATAACATGTTTCGTTACAATCATATTTTAATTATAAAAACATTCATATATTAAATATCTAAATTATATTACATGTATTATTATTTTTCAAATTTATTGAATTATACATTCTTTAATGATTTTTTATTCTTGGCTATGAGATTTGGGACCAATTTTAAAGTTGATCCAATTAAATCAGTTAAACTTGTTCTTTAAGAATTCAGGCTAAAGACGGATGCGGTATTTTACAAAATATTATTTTATAGTATAAAATTTCAAATTTAGCACACAATATACTTGAAAAAAGGTTTATGTTATACAAGTGTCACATAAGGCAATATACATATGTCAACAAGATTACTTTATGTAAATGGATATGTTATGTAATAAAAATGAAATTGTAGTTGACTAATGTTTTGTATCATTATCACATATACTATTTTCATACGTCTAAAGCAATATTTCAGCGTCATAAAAAATAAATATTGTTCGCCATTAATCCAGTTCTTTCATTAATGTTTACTTATTCCTCATCTTCTTAAGGATGAATACACAATATTATTGTACCCAAGTACTTTAACAAACTTTATAATATATACTGAGAAAAAAATAATTAAGCATTTGTCAATATTATATATAAAATAATAAAAAGATAAGTAGTAAAAACTTATAAAAAAAAAAGTATCAAAAATAAATAGTAAAAACAAATCCTGATTTATTTAATAGAAATATATCACAATGACACATTTTCCAGAAAAACAGCCATGTTAATTAATATAAATCATTCACACACACATTCCTGTTTATATATTATTTATTAAATATTTTAGCTGTTTAGACACATGTTGAAATGTGTCTTGTAATTCTCTATACTGAGTTTGTTCTTGATGAAAACACTCTATCAAGTTCAATATATATTTACTGATATTTGATATTATAAATATTAATAATTAAATAAAAAAAAAATATCCTTATTAATTTATATACATACAATTTTGTGCTATATTGTACAAATATAGTTAAATCTTTACTTAGCAATATCTACATAATGCATTTTAATTCGTTTCAAAAAATTTATGATACCATTATATATTTCTATAATTTTGAATTTCCATTTATTACACTAATTAATTAGTTTCTATGTTCAAAGATTCCTTAGAATTGCCACATTTGCCTTAATGTTACCAAATTTCAATTGCTCAAATAGTCTACAATAACATATTTTGCAAATATGTGTGTATGTATGTGCATCTATTATAACATTTTCGATTTATTTAGCTATTACATATCATTTTTATTTTTCAATCTACTCTATATTAATTTTAAGCAGCAATTGTAAATTAAAAATAAATATATTACTAATTATTTGCGTAACAGTAAACAATTCTTAGCTCTATTCAGCTTTATAAGTACTATATAAATTAATAAAGCAATTAAATAAATGAGCTAATTAAATAAATGACTTTATTTACTTTTTATAAAATTAAGTATAAGGCAAATATGACAATGAATTTGAGAAATGAAATTTTCTGTTTTTACGTACAAAAATAATTTTACTCTCTGATACTTAATAATTTATCTAAATCGCCCTGTTTGGTACCACTGCACTATATTTATGTGCACAAATTGTGATTTTATCATATTTCTTATTATATCGTATATATTGTGCTGTAAACTACGAATGGAATATTAGTCATTTACATAGTATATTCTTAACAATTTGATAAGTATATACACACGCACATGTGTATACAGCCAATACAGCAGTAATTGTAATTTGTGTGAATAAGTTTTATTTACAATAACATTCTTCAGTCACGCATGAAATTTCAATAGATTGTATGTTTTTGATTTTTTAGTTTTCGAACAAATTATCAGTATACTTTTAGAATGTATATAACGACTTATATAATACAATATTTGAATGCTACAAGGGTTGTAATAGTAATACAATATATAAGAATAAGTTAGTTTAATTAATATTATCAACTTTTTTGTGAGCACATTGGTTTACTTACAAATGTGCCAAAAAGAAAGATATAAATATTTTAAGTAATTTGTAAAGTTTATGAAATAATTATAAATTTCAAGAAAACATAAATTATTTTATGATATGTCCCTTGAAATTATTTAAAACATTCATAGTCAAGAACATACTAATCACATAACTTCTCTATAATTTTATAAATAAAGATATTAATACCATATTGCATTTAAGGAAGCGTGATCTATCTTAAACATTTTAAGACAAAGTAATCACAAAGTACTGCAAAAAAACAGTAATCACTAATAAGGCAGTCATAAATTCACATATGTTGCGATATTAAATTGTAAGAAAATAATTAAAAAACAATGTATTATAATATATCAGAATACAGCATGCTAGTTAAGCAACGTTTCTCGCTATAGGTTGTGCATTCAAAAAATAAGTCAAATATATATTTATTTTTTTTTTCGTCCTACTTCCGTCTTACAGCACACCATCTAGTATGCATTCTTTACTATACTTCCGGTAGTGCCTAACGATGTTGTCTGAAATGTATCGAGAATCTTATAGATAGCAATAAAAATACGTTTACAACCCTTCAGACTTCAATCATAACATAGTTTTAACATAGTAAAACAATTTGTATCATTAACTAAAATTCTTTAATATCGCATAGGATTTAAAAAATTTTTGTCTATATACGAACTATTTTTAATTTGAAAAATTACATCTAACAGAACAAACATTTTACGTAAAAGATAAA